GAGCACTCATGACAACTACCTCTTCACCATTTCCATCCCCATCATTCCCATCATTCCCATCATTTCCATCATTCCCATCATCAGTTGCATCATTTACAACCACATTTGCATCCCCAGCTGCCACTATTTGAATTTGTACTATAATGTCATTTTGTAGTAGTTGTTGTTCATTAAGTTCCAAAATTGTTTCACCATCAGAATTAGTTTCCTCATCAGTATCAGAATTTGTTTCTGAAGTAGCAGCAGCAACAGCCGCAGCGGCCGCGGCCGCGGCCGCAGCTTCCTTTTCTGCTTCTTTATCAAACTTTACACAATCATCACATTTGAACGCTTGAAGTTCACCATAATCAGTGCATTCAAAGCATCCATAAAAGTACCAATAATTATCACGACTTCCATGAGATTTTCCGTAACAAGTGACTTGGGAACTAGCCCTTTGTTTATTACAAAAATCACACCATGGAGCTTGAATAGTAACCTTTGGATTATTGGTTAACTTTTGTAAAAAATTTTCGAGATCATCTTTATCCTTTGGAACCCACCATATCCAATTATCATGATCATTATACCAATAAATGGTTTGAAGTTGTAACGGGTGGGAAGGACGAAGTTTTGGAGTAGGAGTCTCTGCATTTGTAGTCTCATCAGTATCAGTTATAGGAATCCTAGTAGCCTCGATTATCAATTGCGAGTCGGAAATTGCATCATCTAATACTTCTTCAGGACCAAACATTTCTTCAATTACTTTTTTAACAGAGCTCATCTCCAACTTATCTTTACAAGTTCTTAAATGTAAAGATTTCAAATTTGGACAAGCATTTAATACAACACTTAGACCTTTAGTTGTAATCTTTACATCGTTTAAATATAGTTCTCTGATATAAATTTTCGTTTCTTGACGTAAGTGGGTGTTAAACATAGGTGGAATTGTTTCATCAGAGATATTTGCGAGTGTATTTAAATTTAGCCTTGACCATAAAATATCATGATTAAATATGAAATAATTTAATGATTTACAAACGCTTGCGATCGTTTTTGTACGTGTTTGAAGAGTTGTTAAAAGAAATATTTTCCCTAATATTTCAGGTGGAAGACGTAATAACATCATTTGTCGTGTTGAATCGTTCAATTCAGAAGATTCCATTTTATTAATAGTGTTTGAAGGCGCCATTAGCTTTTAAATCTAGTAGTAGTCGAGTAGTGAATTTTATTGTTTGTTAATAAAACTTAGATAAAGACAAGTGATTATATTCATTTTTTTTGCGCAGTAAAGGAATTTCTTTTCCGATCATAATCAACCAAGTCCGCGTGAACCGGTGGTACAAAGTACAGTATATAGTTACTGAGTATCTGCGTATTTCAGAAAATAATTACAATTTGGTCAATTGTCATTAGAATAGATCATGTGTTATAAGACTTGGCGAAGTAGCCGAAATAGCCGACAAGGCTGAAATCTAATTTTAAAAGCCGAAATCCAACCTTTTGAGCTAACGAAATTTATTCATCAGCGTTTTCAATGAACACATTTGGACGTGTTACACTATACGTACCATTAGAGCATACATAATTAATTTATAACTCAGTCGGGTTAATGTTGAAAAACTAGTTTTTTTTTCTTTTTTTATACATATATAGATATATAAATAAAAATTGAATAAATAAATCGGACAGCCGGATATATATTCAGAAGTTTCAGTGTTATGAAAAACCATATGCAAAACCTAATTTATAACTTGATTTAAATTATTAAATGAAAATGTTTAACACTTAATTTTGCATACATATAATACATTTTTTTAAAAGTTGCATAAAGAAAAGAATTAGAATCGTGTACACTACACATCACATTAGTATATATAGTATTTTAAAGAAATTAACATTATTTGTCACATATGGTATATTGCAATTCAGTAAAACTATTTCAAACATTAACATTCTGCGTTGATTCACTCTTAGTGGCATTTTGTTTCATCTCTTCATTCACACATAATAAGTCTTCAGGATCATATTTTATTTCGTTAGAGTCATTCGGTGGACATTCTGAAACTTTAGAATGAAATGAGCGCCCACGTTGAATTATTTCTTCGCTTGATACAACATTTCCTAAAAGATCCATTATTGGTAAATTCTCAAATTCCGGTAATCGACTTTCTGGGAGCCCCGTTATCACATTATTCTCACTCATTAATGGCAGTCCGAAAACAATTGGACTATTCGGGTTATGAATGTGAGTACCTCGTTCTGCATGATTAGTAGAAAGACTGGTAAAATTATCGTAGTTCGGATAGAGCATCACATATCCTCGGAGATATACAAGTTCTATGAAGAAACGTTTCCATGATTTCCTCCATTTATTTGCTCGGCAATTTGGAACTGTGATATTCTGCAATTTAGGTCCTTCATTATCTATTAATCGTGCGGTCAGGTAATAATGAAATTCGCGCCATATTTCTGGAAAAAATACTGCACCCCAACTGCACGGTACTTGACTAAGATATGGCGTTTGACTAGGATAATCTGTTCCTTTTAGTGCAAGCCTAGGGTCAAATGGCCGACGTCCATTCATATCTAATTCATTGATTTTAGTGTTATAAAAACTGACTCCAAACATTCTACCACTTAAAACTCGTTTAGGTCCGTATCTATATTTCAAGATGCTGTATTTTGTCCATATATAAAAAAATGGAGAAACCTCAATATCATCTTCTAAAATTATACCATAATCGTCCTCATCAACAGGATAGTACGACTCTATTATGGCTGGCAATAATCCTCCTTGAACTACGCGATGTCTAATTTCCTTTTTCCCATATTTCCATTTAAACGTTTTACAATATTTTAACGTGACTGGGTCTGCACTTCGATCAATATTCATTGTCATAGGTACATCATCCCCAAGATAAAATGCCGAATTTAGAGATCGTACAAGGCGAGACAGTGAATTGGGTCGATCTTGTGTAATCACTTGTATTCGGATTTTCGGTGTGTTCCATTCTATAAATGATCGAATGTGTAATCAATAATTTAATGCTCACACAATCATGCTTGTCAAAATCCCAAACTCCAAAAAAAAAAAAAATAAAATAAAATAAACTGTCATGATATTTTAACCAATATATTATCATTTGTTAAGATTCTTAGGGTTATTAGTTTGGCCGATGTTTGGAATTTGGTTTGGGATTTGGACGCGGACAAATCCAAACTAGAGTAGTTTTGGCAAATATACATATATATACAATGCTTACGTTTAAGTGTTTCAATTGACAGATCCGTTATCCAATTCAAATGTTTCGAGTCTTCCAAAGGCACCGCAATTCTAGCAAAACCTTTTGTCTGTGATATTACAGCTATTGCAGTGTTAATATTGTGCATAATATTATTTTCTACATCTTTTATATGAATCAAGACATCGGTCTGAATTTTATTTAATACATTATTTATCCTTTGAAATGTTATTGTCGAGATGCTTTCTTCCAACATTCCGCTTTCAATTTCTAGATTATAAATAAATGCATTACAAGTTTCGCTCTCGCTTTTCTTCCGACCAATAAATATTACATGAAGATATGCGTTTTCCATCTTTGACAGTTGACAATAAATAGGTTGTAGACTGTTTACTTGGTCCTCGGAAACAACAAACACGATATTATTTATCATACTGTTTTTCGCTCCATATGTATCATATTTATGATCCAGTAATTGTGAGGAAGCCAGTCTATTTTGATGATAAATTACTATAAAGGCGAGCATAAGCAATAAAATCAATATAATGGTTCTAAAATTCCTTGGAACTGACGGCATCTGTAAAAAGAATGGATAAAAAGTCCTTTTCTGATGTAGAAATTCACACAATATTTTATCTCGATAAGCAGTGTTTTACAATTGCTAACACCGGGAAAAAGTGAAAGCAAAAAGATTGTTAAGTGGAAGTGGTTAATTTATTCGCATAGCACGTAAATTTAAAGGATACCGATACAGAGTACAGGCAGACCTCCTTAAATATTTTGCCCTTGAGAATGTCGTGCGCGTTAATTTTGTAAATATTTTCAATCTTACAACCAAAGATTTAATCTAGAATTCTTTAAGTTTTAGTTATGCAATCGTTATAAAATTAATATCAATTTTTTTAAAATTTGATGTATTCCAGTAAAATCCTGTGGATCTTTTTTTTTAACCCCTAACCTTATAAAGCTAAAAAGTGTTTTAAAATGCGCGTTTTTGAAGTTTTTTGTCAGCCTCAATAAGAAACCGATACGTATAATATATGCAGTAGCCAGTGTTGTATTCCGTCTAGGGTGAGTGGCACAGAGGTTATTGGCATGCATGCCCCCCATATGGGCGGATCGAACGCATTGGGCCTTAGCGAGAGACACCAAATCTGTAATTTGAACCCCACTTTTTCTATATTCAATTGGTCAAATGTATGAAACAATTACTCGATTATACCCTAATAATTTAAAACTATACCTTAAATAATTTTAAGGATATAATGATTATGCAAAATCATGCGTCAAACCCATCTGCCCCATCTGCTTTCTATTGGTTAAGGCTCTACTTGGACATATCATTTGACGTCTAATCCCTACTAGGACATATCGTTAGGCATCATGTATATTGTTATCTTTATAAATTTTTGCGGCAATCATTATGTCAAACGACTTGACCCTCTATAAAAATTTTTGGAATATTAAGTCTACTGTTGCATGTTGACGCTTACCTATAGGCATGCATTTATATATATTCCGAATCGAAAATAAAAATGGGGTGTTACGAGTTCACCAGGGTGACCACCAAAAGTACAAGCACATTATCTGAATTATCGCCACAGCCATATTTTAATTATAAGAAATTGTCCTAGAACTTAGATATTATATATAAAACAGCCTATTTTTATAATTTTTTGAAAAAAAATTTGTGCTAATTGTATAATAAAAAGATCCACAAAATAAAAAAATAAAAAATTTTAAATATATTACTATTGAAGTATTTTTTTATTGTAGATAGTAACTAACTAATTCAATTTAAATATATTTATTATGTAGTTTAAAGTAAAATATATATCAATTATTTTATTAAGGAATATCTATAATTTATATAAAGAAATATATATAGTAAAGATTTGCAAAAATTCAAAAAATAACAAAATTGATGATATCTTATGATTATCCAAATTTAATCATTTTGGTATTATTTGATCTATTTTATCAAGATAAATTAAATAGTATTAAAATACAGTAGTTAAATTTAAATCATAAAATTATAAGATAGTTATGTTTAACTAAAATTTTAAAATATATAATTATTTTGATAAGAGAAGTATCATTTATTAGTTGATTTTTTAGAGGAGTAAGAGGTAAAAAAAGTTAAAATTATATATAAAAACCTGATATTTTTATATATTAAAAAGAGAGTAGAGAGGTAAGCTCTTAATAAAAAAAATCAGATAATAAATGATTCTATCCTAACCAATAGTCCAAATTTAATGATTTTGGTATTATTTGATTTGTCTCAATAAGATGATTTAAAAGGTAATAAAAGTGTTAAAATTAGATCACTAAATTATAAGATAATCATAAAAAATATTTATAGTATAGTTTTTTTAAATTTTTAAATTTTTATTATATTATAAATAATACTATATTTTGTAAATAAAAACAGAACTCATATAAACTAAACTAGACAAGAAACAGGGTATTGAGAAAAGAGAACTATGAATCTAGCTAGAGATTCTTTGCAATTGCAAGTATATTGTAGTAATAGTGAAAAACTTATTAGCTATCTTTTAAAAAATATCTATCTAGATATAAAAAAAAATATATAGTTATCAAGTTATCTAGCTTAGAAGTTTAATAATAGGCTTAAGCATTTTACTATAAAACAAATAAATGAAATTACCAACATTAACTAGGCTACTATCTAATTTGAAAAAAAATAAATAATATATACTAGACTATCTGGATTGAAAGTATAGATAAAGAAAGCAGTATTACTAAAATATTAGAGTTATACTATAAAATAAGTTTTGAGATTTGGATAAATTTTATAAAGGCAGAAGTAAATTTAAGTAACAGAGTTTAGCTAAACTAGAGTTAAAACATAATTAGAAACAAAAAAAAGTTTAAAACTAAAAGAAAAACTACTGTATAAGCAAAAATCTCGACCTAGTATTATATATACTCTCAGAATGTATAAAAACTAAGTTACCAGTAGTGGGCCATAGTTTATATATATTAAACTAAAGTATAAATCATAAGTAGTAAGAGTAGAAATATTAAGAACTTTGTTAAATTTATCTCAAGAATAAAAGATTAGAAATAGATTAATAAGAAAATAAAGGTTTACTTTAAAGTTCTAAGTCATCATATAAATATATACTAGAAAGATTAGTTTATAAAATTGAAGAAATAGTTGCTAATTGATATAGACCTCAGAGTACAGAGAGTTAAGATGAGTAACTTTCTAGTCAGATTGCAGATATAGCAACTAGTATAGAATCTAGTAATAGATAGATTACTTAAATAGATAATTAAAAGACACAGATATAACTAGATATATTCTTCAAATATATATAATAACTATTCTAACATAATAAAGCATACTTGACCAAGAGATCATCTTAATACTAAAAAAAAATAGTGTTTAGTAATCTAATTTTAATATTTTTATTACTATTTAAATTATCTTATCAAAATAAATTAAATAAAACTAAAATTATCAAATCTGAATTATTTGTTATCAAGATAATTATATTTAATTAAAATTTTAAAATATTAAATTATCTTGATAACAAATAATTCAAATTTAATAATTTTGGTATTATTCAATTTGTATTAATAAGATTCAAATAATAGTAAAAATATTAAAATTTAATTATTAGATTGTAAAATAATCACAAAAAACTATCTATAGTACAGGATTTTTTAAATTTTTATATTTTATTGTAAATAATGCTTTGTAAATATTTTATGATCAGGGTGTGATAATGTAGAGTAGTGGTTAAGTTATCACCCCAAGCAGCAGGTCTAGAGTTCGATTCCTACTAGAGACGTTTTTCGAAAAATAGACCTATGTTACAGTAATATTTATTTAACGATTGGTTAGATATATCACCTGTAATTTTGGTACTACTATTTTGAAATAAAAGCTTTAGAGCGATTCAAATCCAAGGAGCCAGAATATTTGAAACCTATTTGGCAAGACTTGAGCTAGGAGTAGTGAAGATCTTTGATGATATTATAGAAAATTAGAATCAGAAACCGAAGAACCAGACGAACAACTCTGAGGCAAGATAGGTTTACCAACCTAGCCGCCAGAGTTGTACTAGAGAAAAAGGTCTGATGCTACAGAATTCGAAACCAAAAGAAGTAAAACCAAAAGACACTTAGAGCCTAGGTACAATGATCCTTTTGGACTAACTGGTTTGATAGTTGAGAAGAGATCAGTATAAGGTCCAGTTAGAAGTAGATATTCAGATTGGAATGAACCTTGTAAAGAGCAAGAAGTAGGTAACAGTAGCGAAAATAGAAACCACATATTTCAGTCCTCGGATTGGGGTGTATATTACCAAAAAACCCAGATGATACATATGTAGGACATGAACTACTCTGGTAGGTTTATCATGAGGATAAAATAGTTCTAAGAAGCCTTAGTAGCAGGAATTTTTCCGAAAAAAGTATCTGACAGTGCTAAGTTGATCAGAGGGTTTAAATAGGGGATCCACAAGTAGATCCTAGATATAGCAATTGGTAGATAACTATAGATAAAAATAGATAACAGAACTCTTAATTAGACAATAACTAAAGTTGTATATATGACCAATTATACTCTTGTTGATATAACAAAGTCAAGGGGGGCCTATTTGGTATCCTAATAATTGAACTGAGAAGTTAATAAACCATACCAGACCCCAAAGTGGTCACCTTAATATTTAAAAAAAAATATATATTTTATGATCTAATAATTAGATTTTAATATTTTTATTACTATTTGAATTATTTTATCAAGATGAATTAAATAATATCAAAATTATTATTATTTTTTTTTACTTTAGTGATCTTACTCTTATTTTATAAATTAATAGTAAATATAGTAAGAATTTAGTTGACTAAACTTACTATCTACAATTAAATACTATATATCTGTCTAAATAAAAATTCTCTCAATCTGTCTTATTATTGCAATAGAATTTTAGCAAGCTAAAATTCTATACTAGAGTATAACCTAGAAGTGACTTGCCTAAATAAACAATTTTTCTTCTTCTTGAATCCTCAACTTTCTGAAAATATAAACATCAGATATTAATAGATAGTTTTTACTGATCTTGTCAAAATCACTGCTCTACAATAGAATACTATTAATCTGATAATACTTTCTTGTAGAGAAGTAAAAAAAAAAAAAAAGATATGAAAAAAATAAAAAAGAGATAGAATATAAACAAATATACAAAGAAAATGGCCAGATTATAAAAGAATCTATAAAATTATCCTAAAATCTATAAAAATCTATAAAATCTGCTAATCAGGTAAAAACTATCTATATAATCATAAAAATCTATATTTAGAGCTATCTGATAAAAAAGA